GGGAAGCCTGCTTCTTCCTCTCCTACTCCCCCTGCTTGTGTTCCCTCTCTCGCTATGTCTCTGTCAAATAAATAAATAAAATATTAAAAAAAAAAAAATGCTTCTGATGTCTCTTAAAAAACAACAACAGACTCTTGATAAGTGGGACCACCTGGCAGTCCTGACCCACAAGCCATATTCTGATATGACAAGGACTGTTTGGAGTGCAGTGCTGGCTGACTGCTCAGTCCCAGCTCCTCAGATCCCTACTGTGCCCTCTTGTCTTAAGCCTGGTCTACCTTCCTTAACACGTGTACCTATCTAGCCCTATCTGGGCATGTGACTTTTTGGAGTCTGGGGCCAGAACCCCTGCTGGCCTGGACTCTGCCTCCTCCTCCTTTAGAAGCCTCGGGTTATTTTTCCAGAATTCCCAAGCTCTGCAGAGTTCAGTTTGAACATCAATGTTTTAGATCAGCGATTCTCAAACTATAGCGCTGGTTCTCAGCCCTGGCTAGACCTTAGAATCACTTGGGATGTTTTATAGAAGCCCAGTGACCAGGCTGAACAAACCAATTAAATCATTCTCTGGGGCATGTGCTCCGGCACTGATGGTGTTTAAAGCTCTCCAGGTGGTCTAATGGCTAGCTGTGGTTAACCACCAAACTGCATCAGCATTACCTGCAGGGCTCGCTGAAACCCAGACCACTGGACCCCACCTCTGGAATTTCTGAGTCTGTAGCTCTGGGGTCGGGCCCAAGCGTTTGCTTTTCTACTAAGATCCCAGGTGCTGCTGATGCTACGGGTCCAGGGACCACACTTTGAGAATCACTGCCCACGTTTGCCCCGGAGCCACTGTGTTAGTTTCCTGTGGCCACTGGAACGAACCGAACCGCCCCAAAGACAGTGCCTTAAACATTTATTCTCTTACGGTTCTGGAGGTCAGAACTCAAGGTGTTGGCAAGGCTGTGCTTCCTTCATAGGCTTTCTGGCAAAACGTCTTGTCTTTTCTAGTTTTAAGCTATATTCGTTGCAGTCTTTGGTTCCTGGCCCCTTTCTCCATCTTCAAAACCAGTAGCATAGCATCTTAACTTCAGTGGTCATATTGCCTTCTTCTGTGTCAAGTCTTCTTCTGCCCCTCTCTCTCTTTCTTTTTTTTTTTTTTAAAGATTTTATTTTATTTATTTATTTATTTAGAGAGAGAGAGCGCATGAGCAGAGGGAGGGCCAGAGGGAGAGGGAGAGAGAGAATCTTAAGCAGGCTCCACACACAGCACAGAGCTGGACTTGGGGCTCGATCTCACGACCCTGAGATCATGACCTGAGCCGAAATTAAGAGTCAGATGCTTACCCAACTGAGCCACCCAGGCATCCCCTTCTGCCTCTCTCTTAAAAGGCCACTTATGATCACATTTAAGGCCCACCGAGTTGATCTCCCCATCGTAAACTTCTTAATCTCATCCCATCTGCAGAGTTCCTTTTGCTACATATAAAGTAACATTTACAGGCTCTAGGGATTGGTCTGGACCTCTTTGGGAGGCTGTTATTCAGTCTCCATAGTTAACTTTCCACTGGGGAAAGTGTCCCATGACTATTCTTTCTGTGGCATCAGAATCAAAGGCACAGGCATGTGTACTGTCTTCATTTGGGTTCCTTCCTAGAGCAGACCCTGAGACGAGGATTTGGGTGTCAGTAGTTTTTATTTAGGCGGTGATCCCACTAGGGCATGGGGAAGTGAGATAGGGAAGGGCAGGCAGTCAGCATAGAGGGAGCTCATGAGCAGATTGCTGCTGTGGGCGTCTAGGGTTCAGTTCTCCTGGGGGGAACAGGAGAGACAGGGAGACAGAGGACTGGGATATTTACCCACCAACTCCTAGGGACATGCTTGCCCCAAGCAACTTTCTTGCTGGTGAAGCCCTCTGGCATAGTCACAGGTGTTTGTGGTAGGAGCTAGAAGCCCATAGGGCCTGACAGTTGCTGGGGCATCTGGGCAGGGAAGCAGCTGCGTCCACCATTGATCCTTTAAGAGAGCTATACTCATATGGCTGTCTTGCATTGAGCACTTTCTCTTTGCTAGGCTCTTTACATATATGACTTCTAATCTTCACAACAATCTTTCACAAGCCAGTAGTACCCCCATTTTACCAAAGAGGAAAGTAACATTCAGGAAGGTGCAATCACTTGGCTGAGGTCACACAGTGCCAGGGTCAAAATTCCAAATCAAAACTTACTGACCCCCAAACCATTGTAGAGGCAGAATATTCTGGTGGTTAGGGGTGGGCCTCTGGTGTCATGCTGCCAGGGTTCAAACCTTGTGTTTTCTTTAGCTTTGTGATGTTGGGCAAACAAATTGCCCTTTCTGTGGCTCAGATTCCCCATCTGTAAAATGTGGCTAAAAGCAGGATTTAACTCACAGAGGAGTTGTGAAGATGAAGTGGGCTAATTATGAATGTAAGGTACTTAAAATAGTGCCTGGTGTATAATGTGTCATTATTTCTGTCATTATTTCCAGAACCTCACAGTGTCTGTACACATGCCTAGAGGTCATGGTTTCCCTTGGATGCATTTGTGTTAAAGGCAAAAATTTAAATACAGCCCACACAATAACTTATTACTTAAAATATCCAGTGAGTTAAGACAAAAAGAGGGGCTCAGCTATTTTCCATTTTGCATTTGTGAACTAGTCCCTAAAACAGGAACATGTTGACCAGGGAAGAAGACTATTCTCGTGGTGACCGGCTTTCCCAGCTGGCTTTAAAAATACACCTGGCCCTATTCCATCTCCCAGCCCAGGAGCATTTAGCTCCATTCAAGCCCACACTTATGTCTCCACAGCAACCAACATAAGCACAAGCGTGAGGCGTGTGTTGGCAGCTGGCAACAGCTGAAGGAGAGGCCTCATGGCCGCTGAGGGCTTTGCACCGTAAACCAGCTGGGGGCTGAAAAAAGAGAGGAAAGCAAAGAAGGAAACATGAATGTGAGTTGGACAGTCTACTTCCCCCCCAGGCCTGCCCACTCCTTTCCCCACTCATCCTGCCCTGCTGCTCACCTGGCCTTCTTGGTATCTTTCTGAGAAGTCTGGGGAAAGCCCCGGGAGCTTTCCTGCTACAGCTCTAGTTCTCTCTGGGGACACATGCTCCAGGAGGGAAATTCCAGTGGTCTCAGGCCTAACATGGGGCTTCTCAGGGACCCAGGAGGTGGGGGATGGGGTGACGATGGCCATCCTACCCATAGGGACCTAGATGGGTCTGGGGCTTTCTTACTTTACTGTGCCTGGGGGCTTGTTCAAATGTTTCAACCTGTCCCCTATGGGAAGTTCCTGTGGGGTGGATCATTATTGAAAGTTAGAACTGGGCTGCCCTTTTGTGCCCAAACAGAACTGGTTCGGTTTCTGAGGTCATCCATACTGGGGTGGACCTCATGGAGTAGACCCGAAAAGCCTTCCAAATTCTCTGTGGTCATTCAGAAACCAAATTCCGAACCGTTGAGATTAGTGTTCAGGATTTGGGAGGCTCCAAGCAAGAACAACAGCCCTCTCGCCCTCCCGGTCCATCATTCTTAGAGCTGCGTCAGCAAGGTCATTGTAGGGAAAATTAATATTGGAAAAGAAGAGTGTCCTCTGTGTCCCGGGAGCATGAGGGCCCCAAGGGAGTGGTGTCATTTTGGGTGGCACTCTCCTTCCTCTCCAGGTCTGCCCATAGAAAGGGAGGAGTGGAAGGCTGAGCTGGCTGTCTGGACAGTTTGGGTCCTAGAAATTCCCCCAATTCCCCAAAGTATGTGAAGGTAAATGAGGCTTTTACATTTTCTTCAGTTACCTGAGTCACCTGCTCTGGCCTCTGCTTTCTCTGCTGGGGAGCCCGGAAGGAGTGTGCCTGCCTAGCAGGCTTAGAGCTGGCCGCCATGGTGATTGCTGCTAAGGTTCTCTTGTTTGGGTCCAACCCGAAGGAGGTACGGGCACGTTTAGTCCGTGGCTCTGGTAACTTGCCTGTTTACTGATGTTCTTAGAGAGAACTTGCAGCACAGTAATAAGGGCCTGAGGTAGAATTCAAGAAACGGGCTATTTCTCTGGACCTGCCACTAACTCCTAGGACACATGTGTAGTGTTGGACAAGCTATAGGCTCTCTGTGAGACTCCGTTTCCTCCTCCGTAAAATGAAGAGATCGACCAGATTTTAAAGCCGTAGACTTTCTCTGACTTTGTGGTTAATGAGTTGCCTGCTAATTTATGGAATGAACACCTACACAACAAAAGGGTTTTGGCACATGTCTCTCTCTTGTGAGCCCCAGCACCTGAGAAGCCATGGCGTGCACGTAAAGGGCATGGGGTTCATATTCAGATAGCTCTGGCCTTGAGTGACATCTTCATGACCCACTAGCTGAATGATCTTGGCCAAGTGGTCTTGGTTTAATATCTCAACTCCTCAGTTTTCACTTCTGTAAAACGGGGATTATAGGAGTACTTACCTTATTAGATGGCAGTGAGGATTAAATGAGCTAATAGGTACAGCACTTTGCACCTGGAACATGGTTAAGCTCACTTACTGGTGGCAACCATTATTCCGCATGGTGGTAAGAGAGTTGGAATCCAGGCTACTTGCCCCCTCTTGGGAGGCGTCATTTCTACTATAATCCCATCTGTTTTTATTGAGGCTGGAGAGAATTGCTCATAGTGCTGAAGAGTCCGTTTCAGAACTCCCAGTTCCCATCTAAAGCCAGAGGCTGAGCAGGGGACACCTCAGTGCATGGCATGGCTTTGGAATTGGAAGTCTGGGCTCAGAGCCCTGCTCCAGGGAAACTTGAATGTCAGAGCCAGTTTTTCTCACCTGGAAACAGGGATGCAATGGAAGGTAATTTGAGGGGCTATTGGAGAATCAAAGGAGAAAGCATGGGAGGGCCCAGCTCTAAGCTGGTAGAGTATGCACTCAGGCATTGTTGTGCCTCAAGGGGTGACACTAGACCTGCTAGACGTGGGGAGCACAGGCTCATACCTGAGGACAGTGTCTTAGCATATTGATTTCTCAGCAGAAAGGCCTGCCGATGGGCTGAGTCAACCACAAGCCGCCCTCCCTCCCCAGACAGAGGTGAGCTTTCTGGGAACCCCTGCAGGGCACTGCAGTCCTGAGAGTGTCCACCCTCTGGAAATTGTGCAATCCTGTGTGGAACCTAGCTGGTAAGACAAGCCACCTCCTGTATCCAATTTATCCCTGTCAGGAAAAGGGGCCCTCCATCTATGTCACGTCTGCCTTATGTGGAATGAGTCTTGCCCCCTTCAAAATGGACAGAGGATGCCAAGTCATCAGGCCTGTTAGTGTGGGCCTTCCCATGCAGTAAAAGGAAGATTATTAAGTATGAAATTTTCAAATAGAAGGCCAGAAAATGGTGGCTGATTTGACAAGATGCTCAATTTTCTGTATTTGTTTTTAAGATTTTATTTATTTATTTGACACTGAGCGAGCGAGGAAGAGAGAGAGAGAGAGCATGAGCAGAGGGAGAGGGAGAAGCAGGCTCCCTGTGGAGCTGGGAGCCCGATCTGTGCTCAATCCCAGGACCCCGAGATCATGACCTGAGCTGAAGGCAGACACTTAACAACTGAGCCACCCAGGTGCCCCAGGATGCTCAATTTTCTGACCATATACCCATCTACCGCCACTTTGCATTTTGTTCAATTTTATTTTTCTAAATGGGATGATAAAATCCACTTGAATTGATTCAGATTCTCTGTATTATTATTATTAGTAGTAGTATGTTTAAACCTGTCTCAGTCTCTAAATTAATTATGACAATTACTTGAGATATATAATTTTTGATATACTTCCCATAAACAGAAGGACCAATATTTACGGCACCTCTTACTATGTACTGGACTATTATATTGAAGAAGAAGATTCATAAGACTAACTCTAGGAGCCCATAGTCTATTTGTAACATTAAAATAACACAAATGAAATAATGAATGAGGAGTGAAGTAGATTATCTGGTGGTGTCTCAGACTGCACAAGTAGTTGGAATTTGTGTGAGAGCAGAGCAACTAAGACAAGGAGACAACTGATCCTGGTTCAAGTCATGAATCTGTCACTTACCTGGGCACTTCTGTGAGCCTCAGTTTACTTATCTGTCAAAGGAAGAAAACAATAATACTGAAGGTCGTTGTGGGCTAGTTCTTAGCACATAGTCAGTGTTCTGTGCAGGTTACTTAGTATGTTGATCATTAATTTTTCAGGCTATGTAAAGGTAGTTTTTTTTTTTTTTAAGATTTTATTTATTTATTTGAGAGAGAGAGAATGAGAGACAGCATGAGAGGGAGGAGGGTCAGAGGGAGAAGCAGACTCCCTGCCGAGCAGGGAGCCCGATGTGGGACTCGATCCCAGGACTCCAGGATCATGACCTGAGCCGAAGGCAGGTGCCTAACAACTGAGCCACCCAGGCGCCCCTATGTAAAGGTAGTTTAAAGAATGTTTTTGCTTTCTGCTTCAGGGAAAATGTCTTCCAAATGAAGGAATATTATACAGCCATAGAAAGGAATGTAGGGGTGCCTGGGTGGCTCAGTCGGTTAAGTGTCTGCTTTCAGCTCAGGTCATGATCTCAGGGTCCTGGGATCCAGCCCCATGTCAGGCTCCCTGCTCAGTGGGGAATCTGCTTCTCCCTCTCCCCCTGCCCCTCAGCTTGTGCTCTTTCTCTCTCACTCTCTCTATCTCAAATAAATAAATAAAATCTTAAAAAAAAAGAAAGGAATATAGATGCATTTTATGTAGTTATAGAGAATAATCTCTTAGAAATACTATGAAGAAACCAAGGAGTAGCATATGTATAATTATATATTTAAGTAACCCTTTGAGGATGAAGGGGAATATATTATATCTACCTATCTGCTTGTCTATGCATAAAATATTCCTGAAAGAATACACAGAAAACTAAATGATAATAAATAATTGAAATGGGGGACGCCCAGGTGGCTCAGTTGGTTAAGCGTCTGCCTTCGGCTCAGGTCATGATCCTGGGGTCCTGGGATCGAGTCCCGCATCGGGCTTCCTGCTCAGCGGGGAGCCTACTTCTCCCTCTGCCTGCCACTCCCCCGTTTGTCCTCTTTCTCTCTCTGACAAATAAATAAAATCTTAAAAATAATAATTGAAACTGGTACAGAAGCAGGAGAGTTTTCATGTATGTTTACTTGGACTTTTGGAATTTTGAATCACATGAATGTATTACCTATTCTAAACAATTAAACAAAATACCACTTATGCACACAAAACAGAACCTCTTATCTGGAGCACACAGGGTGGGATTTTTCTGTCTTGAAAAGTCTTTTAGACCCAAAGCAGCAATAGGAATTGAGATCCCAGAATGGTAGAGTCACATGGTTACAGTGCTGTGGAAAGCCTAAAGCTCATCTTCCCAACTTGTTTATTTGAGAAGCTCTATTGCTCAGTTGAGTCCAAAGTGGTCAGCTAAGATTCCCCCACTTTCTGGAATCCAGGGATTTGAGTGATTCAGCAAGACCAATAAGTAGAAATGCTTGTGCTGGGGGGAGCCAGGGAACTCCCAGGGACCCTCTTTCCTCCTCCTCACTTGCTGTGGACCCTCAGACAACAAATACTGAAGACAGTGGGGGCAGGGATGGGGGGTGCTCTAGGAAAAGGGCTAAGTGAACCACGTGGTTTTGAATCACAAGTGTCAGTAGAGCTAGAATGTCACCATGGAAAAATGAAGGTGTGGAAACATAGTGGCTAGAAACACAGGGTCTTTCCACTTGGACTCCATTGTCAGTGGGTGTTGGAAATAATCCACCCGTTGGGCCAATGTAGCTGGGGGGTTTTGTCTCTGACCTATGGCCAGATCTCCCAAATAACTCTACAAACTTGGCCTTCTCTGTCAAGCTGTAGCAGAAGATTTAATAGTGCTCGCTGCTTCATGCTGGACACTGTAATCAAATTCAGAGCCAAGGCGCAGCCAGTCTTGGGGAGGTTTCTTGATGTTCCCTTGGCTCCTAATAACATTGTCTCTTCCTTCCACTCTGCTTACCACATGCCATTTTGTCAAATTAGAACTTGAACTCAAAAAACCAGATGCCTGCCTTTAGATAAGGTCGAAAAATTCCCTTGTGGGAGGAAAAGGGGCTGGGTTGTCTCTTGAATCTATGCACAATCAAAGGAGTCACCTTTGATATATGTCTTACTATAAAATAATGCCAAATATGAGAAGATTTTCTTTCATCCACCTAACTAGGGCAGACCTTCCTCCTCAAGGTGTCCCCGTTGGCAGGGGAGGGGGCAGAAGAGAACATGTCCTTCATGGGGATTCAGTTTCCTGCTCAAGGTCTCCTAATGAGTGGCTGCAGGCTTCTCCAGGCAATGCTGGTGCCTTAGCTTTGGCCCACCCTCAGTCCTAACCCTTGGGGAGGTATCTTCTGGTTCTCCATTTCCTACTTAAATTTTTGTATTTTGTTCTTTTTTATAATGAAAAATTTCAAACATTGAAATGAATGGAAAAAATCATCCAGGAAACACCAATATGTCCACATTTTGTGTTGGATTGTGTACCTACCCCCCTCCCCCCAGATTCATATGTCAAAGCCCTAACCCCGAGGACCTCAGAATGTGACTGTATTTGGAGCTTGGGCCTTTAAGTGAGGTAATTAAGGTTAAATGAAGCCATAAGGGTGGGCCCTAATCCAATCTGACTGGTGTCTTTATAAGAAGAGGAGATTTGGACACACAGAGACACCAGGGATGCTCAAACAGAGCACAGGCCATGTGAGGACACAGCTAGAAGGAGGTGGCCATCTGCAAGCCAAGGAGAGAGGCTTCCAAAGGAACCAAACCTCCCAACACCTTAATCTTGGACTTCTAGCTTCCAGAACTAAGAAAAATAAATTTCTGTTGGCTAAGCCACCCTGGTACTTTGTTATGGCAGCCTTAGCAAACAAATACACCCACCAAATAGATTCTGCAATTGTTATCATTTTGCTATATGTACTCTATCATGTATCCCTTTGTCCCTGCATCTTCTTCTTCTTCATTTTTTTTTTTTGGATGGATTTCAAAATGAGTTGCAGATTCATTGCTCACTTTGAAGAGTAAACTATTCAACAGAAAAGCTTGATGTTTGACTAAAGCCCAGGAGCACACATGATTGAACCCTCTGTGGCCATGATGGGAAGCAACTAGGATTGTCTATTCATATGAGTCTACACACCAGGAAACTGTAAGTAATGGTAAAGTTTGATTAGAAAGGCATGGAACGGGGTGTTGGTAAACTTCTCCAACCCCAGCTGGCCGAGACGACACCTGCCATTTTTCCTGAGCTTCCCTGCTCATTATGTCTGGCTGGTAGTGGGGGAGAGAGGTCGCCACTTTGTGCAAGTAACCAAATCTCCGGAAGTCTCCAGTGTCAGACATCTGGATTCAGGCCTGGCCTCCCACCTGCTGGCTGTGTAGGACCATAGGTGCATCCCTAAATCTCTGAGCTTTGCCTAAAAATAAGAATGATAATACTACTATTTTGTACGGTTGCTGTGGGAATCAAAGAAGGATATTGAATGCTCACAGAATAGTTCCCATTGTTGGCGCCTCACTGCCAGGTTGGGGTAATGTTTATCTGCTCTAATAAACAAGCACCAACATTGTAGTGACTTCATCTAATCAAAATTTATTTTATGCTCACCTAACAGTCCAGTGTGTCTGGTTGGGAGCAGCTCACCTCCATGCTGGCATTCAGGGATGCTGGCCCCTTCCATGTGTGTCTCCACCATCCGCTAAGGTTTAAGTCCTCTGCATCCAGGCAGAACCATTGGCAAGCATGGTCACGGTCCCATGCCTCCAGCTAGTCACACTGCAGGGGGCTGGGAAGTGCAGCCACTTCTCAGGGACAGCTATGGCCTCTGGAAGGAGGAGCCCACGTTTGGGGGAGTGCTAGCCTTCTCTGCACAGCCCCAACTCTGAGGAGGTCCTAGACATAAAGTCAGTGGCTGGGAGTTAGGAGTGGAGTGAGCCTGCTAGCCAGGGTAGGGCCAGGTCAGAGGGAAACCGCCCTGCTCTACCATGAGGGCAGTGAGACAGCAGGTGGGGCAGGAGACGTCCGCATGGAGAGCCATCCCTCAAGGACTGAGGAAGTTGGCCAACAGGAAGGCACCTTCTGCCAGGGCTGTGTGCAAGATCCCTTTTGAACTCTGACTCCAATTCTGTACTATCTGTGATACCTGGACCAAGTGATGGCTTCTCCAAGAGTCCTTTTCTCCTCTATAAAATGAGGATAGTGGTGCTTCGAGGATTAAATGCAGTGATGCATGGAAGTGCAGTGTTGTCCTTGTTTCACGAGGAGGATTTTGCTAAACCAGGGTCTGCAAGTATGTCGCACAGGTGTCATGCCTTCCTCTCATCTCCGGGAGGCCAACACCAGTAAGTCATGACCCTCTTTCCTCAGAGTCCTTCTAAACACAGTGTTCCAGGAAATCTGTACCAATCAGTTCCCGTTAGCAGATAAGATGAAAACTCTTTGACCTCCAGAGGATAGACCTTGGGCTTACTCCTTTCTGTATCCATGTGGCATTGAAAGGACTTGGCACATAGGAAGTATTCAATAAATAGAGAAGAATGTTTTATAGAGCTCTCTTGGAGGTGTTCACTTGTTGAAATGGTAAGGAAGACTCTGTTCAAGACTGTTGCCCCAGGTGGCAAGCTGGTCTCAAGAGGGGAAAGAGATTGGGCTCAATTCTGAATGCAGTAAGAAAGTGGGGCTTTATAGCCAAGGAGCTGGTTGAGAGGAGGGTGTCGGTGGATGGAAAATTCCTAAGAGGAAACATCAGGGGTAGGGGGATTCTTGCTAAACCCAGTTAACAGAATTCTTGCTGAAGGCAGGCCAGGGTGCTAAGATATAAAGGGTAGGGAGAATGAGGAACTTGGTCAGATATCAAGGGTAGGGATTCACTCTAAATGGGCTTTGCTGGATTCTTGCTAAAACTGAACTCTGCAAGGACAGACACAGAAACCCAAGTTCAAGGCCTTGTTGAGAACCTGAACAAAGTTTGGTCAAGGCGAGAGTCTCTGTCAGTGGAAGGTAGAACCCATATGGTCCAGTCTACTTCTCTGCGCACCCAGGTTTAGGGATGGGCCGGCAGACTTGAGGTACCACGGGGCTGGTGCGATCCTAGGCTGTGCCTTTAAACATGCAGGTGTTTTTGCCTCAGACAGGGGACTCTGGGTTCTTGGGGAGGATGCTGAGTTATCCAGACTTCAAGATCTCTCTGTGCAGCAGAGGTGGGAGACACAGGGGTGGGGGAAGATGCACAGAGGACTCTGCTCTGGCCCAGGATGGTGGAGAACAGGCCTGCATGTGGCAGCATGGGGACAAGAACTTCTGGAACGGTGCCCAGGGAGGCGGCATTCCAGAAGTGGACTTCTGGCCTGTTTGATAAATACCAGAGCTGCAATTAAGACAAAATACTGTGAATATGACACCTGCTGACAGCTGCAGGAAGGCCCCGGAAACCTTTATTATGAATTAGATTTTGTAGGCCATTCTGCTATGGTGAGCTGGTGCCTGGGCCAAGGAACCGGAGGGAACTCAGCAGGCCAGCTGCCTTGAGGGCACAGGATGGCTCACTGGTGGAGAAGAGGAAAGTGAGTTGTCCAAGGTCACACAGCAAGTTACTGGCCACACCAGGGCTGGGGACCAGGATTCCAAATCCCAGGCTGGCATGCTTGGCTGCAGGACAGTTAACAGTAGTCGAGCATACATCTAGGCATTTGACTCAAGGAGATTTAGCTCTTAGTGCTCGGAGAGACAGAGACAGAGAATGTGACAGAGTCAGAGACATAAAGACAGCAAATGAGACAGAGTCAGAGACATAGAGACAGAGAGAATGAGACCGAAAAGAGAATTGCAAAAGGAGAGCAACATGGAAGAGACAGAAAGAGACATTCATGGGCCTGAGTCATTAGGTCCAAAATAGAGATTCGAACACCAGCAGAGTGGGACAGGACCTCAGGGACCATCTAGACCAGTCGCCTTTGTTTTTACAATAATCAAAGTGCAGCTGAGTGGTTTACATGTGTAAACCTTTTTAGGAACAGTTTGATGTTGAACAGTAAAAAGGAAATGGCTTGCTAAAAAGTGCTTGCTAAAAAGTGGCAAAACTTCCATCTCCAAAGGTTTTTGAATAGGATTTGAAAAATGAAGCACTGCGGGAATATGACCCAGCACAGGGAAATTTGGAAAAATGATGCTGCTGATATTTCCACAACAGTCTGGAATTTAGGACTGAGCACTCCATGCCCTCCGTGCTTTCTTTGATGTCTTAGGCTCTGTGTTTCTGAGAACAGAGGGAAATGCTCCAGAGAAGGAACAGAGCCTGAATCCTTTCCTCCCTTACTCCTTTCATCTTGGTACCAGCAAATCTCCTCTGCTTTCAAAGTTCAGCTCACCTCTTCCAGGAAGCTTTCCCTGATTTGTCTTCCCTGATTTCTCACTTAGATCTCTCCCCCAGCTGGTACCCATCACTTCCTGCTATAAATCCCTCCAGACATCCCCAGCACCCTGTTAGCCACTTCTCTTTTTGCTTTTTAGTGCAAAGTAGTTATCTCTGACAATGTCAATTAAAGAGCCGCTATTCTATTCCAGGAACTCTGAAATCCTTAGCTCTAATCCTCACAACAAACTAGCAAGGTGGGTTTTGCTTTACCCATTTTACAGATAAGAAAATTGATGGGCTCCTGGGTGGCTCATTCCATTAGGCGTCTGCCTTTGGCTCAAGTCATGATCCTGGGGTCCTGGGATTGAGCCCCATGTCGGGCACCCTGCTCAGTGGGGAGCCTGCTTCTCCCTCTGCGTCTGCCCCTTCCCCCCTACTTGTGCTCTCTCTCTCTCTCTCTTACTCTCTCTCTCAAACAAATAAATAAAATCTTAAAAAAAAAGAAAATTGAGACTGAGAGAGAGAGAGAATAACTTGCTTAAGGCTATACAGTAGTAAGTGGCAGCCTGGGTAAATCCAGCCTGGGTTTGCCTGACTTCAGGGCCTACATTCATTCCACGACACTGAATGACACATGCCAAGGTCAGGCACTGTGTCTAGTCATTGGGTCTTGCATACATTTGGCATTCAATGTGTGTTTCTGAATGAATGAAACAGTAAATGAATGAATGCATACAAGGAATCTCCTTTCTTCTGAAGGCTCTAGCTCAGGGGTCAGCCAACTACAGCCTGTGGGCCCAATCCAGCCTGCTTCCTATTTTTGTAAATAAAGATTTAGTAGACACAACTATGTTCTTTTATTGTCTTTGGTTGCTTTCACGTAACAGTAGAGTTATGTTGTAACAGAGACCACGCAGCCCACAGAGCCTAAAATATTTACTATTTGGCCCTTTCCGGAAAAAGTCTTCTGACTCTCGCAGTAGCTTATGATTTTTACTAGAATTTTGTGTGTGTGTGCGCATGCTTGTGCATTGGGTTTGCCTATCAAGTTATTAGATTCCACATGTATCTGGTATATGCCATTTTGTTATCTTACAGGCAGGCTTCATCTAAAAAGGTTTGCTCCACAAGCCGTTTGGAAATATATATATTTTAAAAAGATATATATATGTATATATATATATGTATATATATGTGTATATATATATGTGTGTGTATATATATATATATATATCTTTTTGAAATTTGTATAATTTTAAAAATTAAGTTTAGGTTGCTGGTGGCACCTTGGCACAGACATGGTTCGAGCCAAGGACCCTGGTGACAGAGGTCTTCCCTGAAGTAGAGGAGGGCAGATTCCCCCAGAACAATCGCAGTGGGGTGGACTTTGAGGCTTGCCAGAACAGTATTGACAGGGGCAGCTTCTGAGCTAAATGAAAAGCAGCCTTTTAGATAGATTACACTCCCATTTCCTCTTGGCTGGCGGGGCTGATCAGGATTCCGGGATCCCAGCCTCACCTCCTTCCCTGGGACAGGGGCACTCTTCCTCCCCCAAGCTGCCCCCCAGTGCAGCCTCTTGTGAGGCCAAAGCCCTGCCTACCTGTTCCTGCTCCTGGGAGCTGAGGACTGGCCTCTGGACCCCTGGCATCTGGGCCAGAAGCAACACCAGAGCAGGGATTGGCTGACTCCCACCCCAAATGCCCAGCTGGGAGTGCTCGGAGGCGTGACAAATCTCAGCCTGTCGCCCGCGTGTGTTCCCTGGCCAGTCCCTCCTTGGGCCTTGCCCACAATGACT